AGCACAGACAAAAAATCGAACAAGAAAAAAAAAACATAGATCTAAAACCTTAATAAGATAAAAAAGAACAAATAATCTAAAAGCACACACATATATATATATACACACACACACACACATATAAAATTTAAATAAAAAATTATTAAACTTGATAGATATATCAAAACATACCAAAAATAATGAAATTTCATTTAACAAATATAATATTAAATTGAGAAGTAATAATAACTTGTATCTTACTGAAAAAATTCATATTGAAAAAGTGTTTTTATGAGTGCATGAGATGAGAAAGAGAATGAAACTCTAATTATGACAAAATATAAAATGAGTTTACTTATTAAGAAGGGTGTATGGAGCATGAAGTGAACTTAGTTACTAATGAAGTGGATATAGAAAAAATAAATTTAGTAATTTAATAATGAGAAATTAAATGAATAAGAATGAAGATTTGAAAGGTGAGAGTAACCCCACCCTTGTTGTATATGTAGACGTCCAGTCCCTACGTCTGCCTTTATAATAGTAATAAATACTCAACCTTGTTAGTTTAATATATAAATATTTACCAATTTTTAGGTTAGTGGAATACTACTTACTACTTAGACTAAATTTATCAATTAATTTCACTAAGTCACTGGATTAGTAATGTGCCACAATATTAGTAAAATCCATTATCAATTAAACCATGATTAAAAAAAATTGATTAACAAATTTAGCTAATATATTTGCTCCAAATAATAGTACTGGTCTGTTTAGACACTCATTTGAATATACTCTCATTTAAGAATTTTCAAGAACCAGTGGGACCCACGAACTCATTAGTTTAAGTATTTATTTATTTTTTGATTTATTACTCTCTAATGTGTCTGAATAAATTTATGAGTATCTCGATTAATTCAAAAACAAGTTATTAATATCACGATTAAAAAATTTATGAACAATTTATCCTCCGTGATCTGATATTAAAAAATTTGTAAAATTTGATCTCAAAATATCTTTTTTTTTTTTTTTTATTTGATCAAATCTCAAAATATCTGGAAGTAGGGACTTTTAAGGTATGTGTCCACAAACACAATCTGATCAGAGGTTGATAGTATGGTCCCGCAATTTCTGAATTTCATCAGAATTTTCGTTGTTTCTCTGCATATCCTTATCGCAAAAGTCAAACAGAAAGTCAGCATCCCCATGTTCGTGGGCCACTCTCATCATGGTCCATGGTACTCGTTGGGAGCATCATAACTTAGCTCTCTTACCTTAAGCGTTCATTCGATGATTCGACAATGCGGGCCCCACCTCCCGCACTTGGATGCCAGTCATTGCCAGATCTGAATGCGAAGATTCAGTGCGCTCAAGAACAACTGAGTTTTCATGTGACCGAAATTTCTGTTGGCGGGGGCTTATATTAGACGAATAGTATTGAGACACGTGTTGACACACCGCCGCTTAAGCAGCCAACAAAACTTCGTTTAAGTTACGGTAACACCACCGTTTTTCTTTCTTTGTTTTCCAATAGAAAGACAATCCGAAATTCATTAAATTTAATTAGCTGGCTATATATTAATATTTTAATTAATTTTTAAAATTTAAATTAGTGACAAAATATTTTATAAATTTAAATTTTATGCTACTAGAATGTGATCTAATTATAATCTGGTGTAAATTGTAGGTATATAAATGTATTTTAATGAAATCAAGTTAAGCTTATGATGGGTGTAATCATATCAACATTAATGTCCTAGATCTTATCAGAACTCTGCAATCAAGTATACTTAGGTGAGAGTAATTTTATGATGGACGATCTACTTAGTAGTTGTCGTGTTGCATCTCTTTTTAAAAAAAGAAGAGGAAGTAAAACTTAGGATGTAGTTAGCTAAAAATTAAGCTTTACTTGAATCATTTTTAATGAAATCAATTTAAACTTAAGATAAGTGCAATCATACTAGCATTAATGCACTGGATCTCATTAGAACTTTGCAATGAAGCACAATGAAACGTGCTTAGACGATAGTAGTTCTAGGATGAATAACCCAGTGAGAAATCTTTGTGTTGCACTCCTTTTGAAAAAACAAGAATAAGTTAAACTTAAGATGTATTTAGCTAAAAAATTAACTTCAATGAAATCATTTTTAATGAAAATCAAGTTAAACTTAAGATGGGTGCAATCATACTAATATTAATGCACCAAATTTCATTAGATCTCCGTAATTAAGCATGCTTAGACAATAATAGTTGTAAGTTGAATGATCCACCGGAAAGTTATTGTATTGCACCCTTTATGAAAAAAAAAAGAAGTTAAACTTAAAATAAAGTTAGCTAAAAATTTAGCTTTAATTGAATCATCCTAGTAGGATCATATTTTGGAATGAAAATCTATCATGTTTAATGGATTTAGACGTTGATTTTAAAAATAAAATTTACTAGATAGTCACATCTAATTCAATTCGTGTTTTTAATTCCAACAAATATTGGTTGAAATCTTATTTGAATTCAAAGGTTTAACAGACACATTGATAAGTGGTATCATAATTATGTGTATATGTGTGTGTGATGATTTCTTATATTTATTTTGATTATACATGAGATATATTACGCATGTTAAGTGTTATTATTGAATTATAATATTTTCTTACTACTAATGTTGCCATACCACTATTTTATTAAAAAAATTTAATCATTGATTTATATAAATGAGTTTCTTCAATGGAAGATTCCAAAAATTGGGTGAATTATTGTGTTAATTTGTACATGTTTAGTCAGGGGTGTTCATGGGTCAGGTTGGGTCTAGATAGGGTAGGTCAAAACTCTTATTCGGGTAAATTATCGACTAGGCTAGATTTTGGATAAGGATATATTACTTATAATCCAATCCGCCACTCATTGAGTGGGCCTATTAGGCGGGCACTACAAGCGTGCCTTGCGAGTGGGTCTATTGGACGAGCCTGTTGAGTGAGTCTTTTCTATATATATACAATTTCATTTAAAAAGTTTCTAACTTAACATTTTTGTAAATTATATTTTTAAATTAAAAATAAATGTTAAAATGGACAAAAAATAAATAATAAATAATTTTATTTAAGAATTGAGGAGAAACTGTATCACAATAGAATGAACACATTCCAACTAAGTTAATATATAGTTACCAAACTTTCAAAGTTTTAATGATCAATTTTTTTTCAAACAATTGGGTAGAGAGGTAGACAGGCGTGCTCTTGAGTCGAGTTTTAACAGATTTTTGTAGGTGAGCTCATGGATCGAGTTTCAGGTTTAGTAATAGGTTTGAGGGCAAACTTAAGTCTTCTTTTTAAAGATATTGAACTCGAATTCGAGTAGGTCAACTGTTAAACTTATCAGGCTTTTGGCCTATTTTTTGGGCTAGGTAATAGAACTCGTGGGTCAACCCAACCCATAGACATAGTACACACCAAAAATGAAAAGTACATTCGACATGGGGTGGTACAATGTGTTCAAAAAAATTAAATAAATTGTCTTTTACTCTCTCTAAGGTTTATTATTTTTTGATAGTGTAGGTAGTTTACATTTTAAATGGTCTAAATCTATCATCACGGACCCTTAAATTAATAAAAATCTTTTTCTTTATCTCTGTAATACCTCGTAAATTCAGCACACATGTCTAAGCATTAAATAACTACTGATAAGAGTTGATAGCTTACATGAAAATAGGGACCAACAAGGTCCACAAAAAATGGGTACAAACAATAGTGCCACAGCAGCACCTAGTGCCACAACAACACTCAAGCACGACGTTCCTAAGGTGTGACACCCTATGTGTGCCCTTAGATGCAATGTCCCTTAGCAAAAACACCCCATGTGCAACATCGTGAGAGCAAAACATATTCCCATTATATTGAAAGTGGCAAAATGGATTCTTCACCAAAAATGAACAACAGTAAAACCGCAGAAGTCTAGGGACAACGTTGGCGCAAAAATAGTATCCTCAATTTATCTAGGGACAGAGTAGTATGACCTTTCTCAAGGGAGAGCTGAGCAATGTGAGCGGACGAGTATGATTGTCAACCTTAGCTTTCACCAAGGTTTCAAAGGTTTAGTTTGCTCGAGGAGCCTCCCAGTGTATGACTCACTTTCCATTAGAATGTGTTTGACTAGAATTTGGAGGGACTCCTAAGATAACTGAGGTTATTGATCTGGATCAAGGGTAATAGGACATATAAATTGGTGGTTGAATGATCGAAACTATGTTTATTTCTTTTATTGGACACTTTGACAAAGGTATCGAGGAAAGGTTTAAAGAAGAAAAGGAGAATCTTGGGTAAGAGCACGCTGGAAGCATTGTAGACATGACCCTCTCGAGATCATGGTCCCACGGTGACCAATCACGGTCATAGACCTTGGGAGCTCCCTTTCACCTCGGTTGCCAAGTGTTAAGAAAATAATTGTGTTTAATTGTGAATATCAAATATCAATAAAAAAAACAAGAAAGTAAAATTCAATCAATTCATTCCAGTTTTAGGTTACCTTGGAATAGAGTGATGAAGGAGCACAGTTGTCTTTTAGGGGTAACGAACTGCACCATTAAGATCAGGAAAAAATCTTAGAAGGTTAACTCAAGTTATAATACGGATAACTTGAAAATTTATACGTGTTGAATTTAAATTTTAATAATATTTTAGGATTAAGTAATGATGAATTTATTTTTTTATAAATATTTTAATTTCGACATAAATAATCTTTTTTAACCAAATTAATAAAAAATTAATCAAAATAACATAAATTACCTCCAACCCTCCCAACCTTTGAAAAGAAAAAATAAGATCAGTAAAATCAAATAGATGACAGTGGGGTTACTTTAATATACCCGACAGAATTTGAAATGGGATGTGAAAATACACATCCACGTCACCGATCCGAGTGACACCCTTGAAGATCCAGATCAACCGTCTAATCCTAACCCAAATGAACGATCCCCAGCCGTCGAATTTATTGATTCCCTATAACCTCCACCTTTTAAGTCCGTTCTGCTCCGCCTGCATCTCTCCGTCCACAGTTCCCCTTTATCCACATCTATCTCTCTCTCTCTAGCATGGCTACTGAAGAACAAGTTGAGAACCCTAGTCTTCTCCCTCAGTACCCAGAGGTAAAACAAAACTGTGCTTTATCGGGGTTTTCTCTCACTCTCTCCTTTTCATCTTCTTTCAAAATACAGCTAAATTCCTCATGAGCTCGCCGAGTTTGCTTTCCTTTTACTATTTCGGGGCTCATATTTCGTTTTCAGTCACCAAACTTAATTTTTCATCAAAATGAAGCTTTAATTTACTGTTTTTTTTTTTTTTTTTTCTTTTTCTCCTCACACAAACACCATTCTCCGTCACAATGGAGCTAAATTTAACCACGGTTTTGTTTATTATCGATTTTTTTGTGTAAATTAAGAATGAATTACAGTTGGGTTTTTGCTAACTTTTGTTGTTTCGTTTGGGACAGTTGATCATGGAGGCGATCGAAGCTTTGAACGATAAGAACGGGTCGAACAAGTCTTCGATTTCGAAGCACATCGAGGACACATGCGAAAATCTCCCAGCTGCCCACTCAACCCTTCTCTCTCACCACCTCAACAAGATGAAGGCAAGTGGGCAGCTCATTCTGATCAAGAACAACTACCAAAAGCCTGATCCTAATGCCCCTCCTCGCCGTGGCCGCGGCCGTCCTCCCAAACCCAAGATGCTCGTTCCGCCGGGCACGGTGGTTTCTCCGCCGCGGCCAAGGGGTCGACCGCCGAAGCCCAGGGATCCACTTGCTCCTCCTCCACCGAAGAAGATGAAAACTTCGAGTGCTAGTGGAAGGAAAAGGGGGAGGCCTCCGAAAGCAGGAACGACTGCTCGGCCGCCGCCGCCGCCAAGTGGGGCTCCCAGAGGACGAGGACGGCCTCCGAAGGTGAAGCCTCAACCGACCGCTGCTCCGGTAGGGGCTTGAATGAAAGAGGAAGTAACTTTAGGGGGTGTAGTGCTAATTATTGTTTTTTTTTTTTTTGTTTTTTATCTTTTGATTTTTTGCTTTCATTGTAAGTCCTTTAACTTTGGTTTAATTCTATTCAGGGTGTTTGTGGTGATATCTGAGTTGTTGTAATTGTAGTGATTTTAGGTGGTGGTGACTGTAATTTGCACAATGTAAATCTATGCAATGGCATTTGAGGCTTTTTGGCCTCTTTCACACTTCTTTTTTATTTTTTGGGTAACCCAACTTTTCTAATGGATTAACTATGGTGGTGTTTGGATAGTGGGTTTAAGTTGAAATAGTTTGGTAGTTTATCATTTTTTATTAGTCTAAGTAAAGCAGAAGGCGAAAGAGATATATTTGTTATAAATGAACTAATATGATTATTATTTTTTTTTTTGAAATGTTCTTTGTTCTCATAATATTTGAACTTGCACAAAGTCACCTTTTTGGGGGTAAAGTTGAGTGAGCCTGGCTCTAAGGAGTATAGATTCTTGTGAAATATTTGAATCCTAATGATTACATGTAACTAAACTCTCATCAAATTGTTTATTAAGTTAATGTGAGTTATTAGATTAATGAGATAAATTAATCTACGAATGAACAAGATTTTGAAATATTAGTTGGCGAAGTTGCCCAAGTAAATGTTTGGCGAAATATTATTTGGTGCACACCTCTAAACAATCTTTTGTCGTCTTTCTCTTTCAAAGAAAGTGAAAAATTTGAAATTGATTCTCATGATATATGTTATATATATATATATATATGTCTATGATTGTATTATATATTTGTTTCACTTTGTGCTTTTGCTTTTAAGGTTACTTTGGATTATACATTTGGTGAAGAAAGTTTTTTGGCAGATGAGTTTTCTCTCTTTGATTGGATTGGAAGTGCCATTGTTGGTGAAGTCACATGGAAGCTGTGTAAAGAATTGAAGGTGCCTTTAATACTTTTGGCTGGGTCTTTGGAGGGTGGAGTTGCCTCCGGATAAACACCTTTGTGCATTTGAATTTGGAATGAGTTTTTTTTTTTTTCCTCAGCATTGGAAGTACTAAGTAAATATATTGTGGACATAATAAATAAAACATAGGTTTTCCATTGAAAAATTCATTTTTTTTTATCAAATTAATATAAAGACAGTCAAACAACTTTCATTAATAAGATTTATAAGGAAAAAACAACTGAATTTTATCAATTGAAATGAGGATACTCAAAGCTTGCTTTTTACATATTTTAAGACAAATGTCATTAGTAAGGTTTATTTGTATACAAATATTAATTTATGAAAATTAGTGATCAACCTGTATGATGTACGGTATTTACAATATTTCTCCACTATCACACCTAATCTCACCCCACCGCCGCCCTACCACAATCCCATTATTAGGAAAGATCTATTAACTCCAAGAATTAGTTCAAATAATAATATGAACAAGCTATAAATCTAAACGACCTGAGTTCGAATCTTGACAATCCATTGGGACTAGCCTATTCCCTTATAAATATCCTAATTCTGACATGCAAAAACTTAGTAGTTAATAAAAAACATTGAAATATGCAAACGTGCAATAGTTACCCAGAGAGTTAACCGTGGTTAAATTGGCCACATGGAATAATTCAATTGAAAGAGACCTATGCATTACTATTAAGTAATCTTTTTATTTTTTTTGATCAATACTATTAAGTAATCCAAAATTAAGAAAAAAAAGGGATTTAGGAAGGAAAAATTGCTCAAGTACTTTTTCTCCTAAATTGATTCTTCTCGTATATATAAAAGATACAGGTGAGAAATAAAGAAAAATAACTATGTTTTTTTTATGTCATTTTAGGTAGTGAATACATAAAATCAAACAATAATAGAATTGTAGTCTATTTACTATTTATTGTTGATGTCAAATTATTGAATGCTTTCATGTCAGATCAATCTAAGTTACGATCATCTCAAACAAAAGTTGGAGATCGAAGGACCTTTGACTTTGGTCTTCCAATGATTAAGTCAGAAAAATTTAAACAAATCAATACTTTGAAAGGTAAATAATTGCATTTGTGTAGCTAGCATCATCTTGGAACTCATTTTTTAGGCATCCTAGGGATTCGACAATGACAGGAATAAGGATTATTTCATGGATTAGGATTGGATCTTTGATCTTTAGCAGCCATTTCCATTTCTTATCTGCTTAATTCGATTTATCCCATCCATGGTTTTTGTTGTCTCTCTTTTATTTGAATTAGGACTATTGTCAAACTTTCAACAGCAGAGTCCTTTGACTAAGTCAGTCTGACTAGATATTGATTTAATCAATCTTTATTATTAAATTAACTAAGATTTTCACTATTTATTGGGACATATTATTAATTCAATATTTTAATACATTAAATAAATAAATTAGATCAAAATAACATTTTTTTTATGTCTTAACGTGAGCTGAAATGTCATTGAGTGTCATGAGAATAAAGTCTTTCAAGCAAAGCATTAGCATTATCTAATGTGTACCAAAGTTAAATAAAGGTGAATTCATGTTTCCACAAGAAGAATCAAAAATTGAAATGAAAAACAACAACTACACTCCATCTTATATGAAAAATAACATTGATCTCCCTTGCCAGTAACGCCTGTTCCTTTTATCTAATACAAATAAAAAAATGACAAAAATGCATTTGATATACAAGATTCTCTATTTGTCACATTCAATCACACAATGCCTTGTCAAGCCATTATAAAACACAAAAAATTAATGCAAAAGATTTACTAAATTAATGAAATTGATTCTCAAAAGAAAACAAAATCTAATTTATTAATTAAATTTAATTAATCTCCATATTCAAATCAAATAAAATCTAACTAATTTTTTCCTTAAATCCATAAAAATTAAGGCGAGAGATCCACTCTGAACACTTTTAAGGCGAAAGGTCTAAAAAATACGCTGTTAACAAAAATACCCTTACTTATATAAGTGAATACTGTACAAGAAGTCACTTTTCTAGAAAATGACATAGTCCCATAAAATTGCACAGCGCCTAAATGATTCACTCAAAAACTTTCCTATTGCAAAAATTTTCAACATAAATCTAGCAACAAATCAACAGGTAATCGATTTTATAGAGAACCATTACCAAAACAATTGTTCTTCGACAATCGCTAAAACAAAACTTTTTTGATTTCCAACAAGAATCATTTATGACTTCCATAAACTACTATTCCATTGTTCTTGAAGAAATCTCTTTCTCGCATGGAATCATTCTACAATATAAGATTTCAAGTAAGTGGTTTCTAATTTTTTTGAGTTATTTTCTTCCGTCAGGGTTAATTTTCCTTCTTTTGATGAACACATAAAATACAAAACGATTAGTTCACTTTGCTTAGTTCTGGTTCTTCCAAGCTTGGCTCCATGCCTATTTTCCCGAGGTTTGGCCTTTGGAGTCTTTGCCTATGCCGAAATTTGAAATTTTGAACTATGTTCATCGATTCCTATCTTCCCCATCCTTATATACAGAGAAAAATTTCAATTCTTATTTCAGAGCTTTTTTCAGTCTCAACAAAGACGGACCAAATTCTTATATTATCATTTCTCTTAGCTTCTTTATTCTCCTTCCCTTTTTGAATTTTTATTTGCTGATCCAGACACCACCTCTAAAGAGGCTAACGAGTTGCAATGTGTGTAAAACCCAAAAAAAAAAATTTTAAAAAATTATTATGATTATTATTATTAAAAATCTAAATTAAAGGGGTGACATAATAATTAATTGTTAGTATAAGGGTAAAAAACATAAAAGTTTTTATAAAAAAAAAAGTAGGTAAATTTATACTATATATATAAATGTGTGTGGAAGACTTCCACTTTTTCCTTTCACCAGCCGGTGCCGAGTGAGTGAGAGAGAGAACATAGTATTGTTTTTTTTTTCTTTTATTTTACTCTTTCATTCTTCTTTAGATCTACAAAGATTAGACCGTTAAATAGCTTCGGACCAAGAATTAAAGTTACTCTACTCAGTAAGAACTACGCAACTACACCAAATATCGTATTTTTCTTCAAAAGAATATTAAAACCAATAACCTAGGCCTAACACTTAAGAAGCTAAATTTGAGCTTCCTTGGACTTCTAGTAAGTGGGCTCATGCTATGAGAGGTAGAGTTTCTCCTATTTAAATTTAATTTCAACTTAAAATATGACATATTGAATTGGTAGGCTATGGGTGTATACCTAGTGTAACTAGTGGGTCAAATATAAGATTTATAATTAACCTTGTGATTAATAAAATCCTATTACGATTAATTTGGTGTAAGTTAATGTTAGTGGTTTAAAGCATGTTAATTGTATATTAGCATTATTTTATGTTTTAATGGCATATCAAGTTTAATAAAATTATTAGCTTGTTATGTGATTATGAAATAATATATATGTTAAAAGATTATTTAACATATGATTATTTTGGTAGACGTGTGCTTATGTTTATATAATTCATAAACATGTTGCCATGTTGAAAGTCATAGCATGCTAGTTGTGTAAATTGATGTGCTCTTTAGGTGTTTGATTAAATACTTAAGTGAATACAAGTATGTTAGTTGAGTTGATTATCTTACATAACATGCTTGAGATCGTGTTAAAATGTTATTATTTTGTATTCATTATGTAATGGACATTGTATTGCATTATGCATGAGTTGCATTACATTCATGGACATTGACATGGGTGGGAGTGTATGCATGATATAAAATCAATCACCACATAGGTAGTTGATCGTGGGCTCGAAAAAGTCACACCAAGGTTCGGCTAAGTCGCACAAGAAATTAAATGGATAAATGTGTTGGGGACAACAAAAAGGGCTAGATTTTCTCTCGGGTGCAAGACCCGCTTACTTAGTTTATACACTTTCTGGCGGTGAAATTCCAGAAAAGTGTAACGGCGGAAACGGAGCCGCAGGTGGGATGTCCTGAAGATCTGTTGATAGTTGGTGTCCCATTGGTATAATATCATAAATCATCTCCCCACAAAGACACAAGAAAATGAATTAATTAGTCATTGAGTGTATATAATACCAATGATGGGGGCTTGAAATGCCTGGATACATACGCATGACATTGCATGTCTTATAGGAGCTCAAGATGAGGCTCGGGATTGTTATTGCTTGCGTGAGTCTCATCTCATGACATGACATGATTTATGACATTTGATCATAATAGATATATGTGAATAAATGCATCAAATGATTATTGCATGTGACATTCCATATGTATTTAGGTTGAAATGTATTCTCTATAAGAATTATCTTATTGAGCGTTGGCTCACCCTTTATGGGAACATTTTTCAGGTATCGTACAGGCGTTCACCGAAGGCGAGGCCATGGGCCTGCTTTGATGACAGAGCCAGTCTGTTGCTCTTATTTTGACATTATAGTCCCTTATTTATATTTACTTTTGACCTTGTATAATTTTTATAATAAAAATTTGTTTATATTTACAAAGGCATGCATATGAGACTCTTTTGAGACATTTATTCTTTTACGAATAAATATATGTACTGATGATGATTATGGTAGTATTTGATACTATACAATTGTGAATGGATGGATAGACCCGGTGTGGTCAATATTGTACAGGTTGTGTTTTGGGTAGAGCTCCTCGTATAAAGAAAGATTCTGCCCAAATTTTGTTAAGTTATGGATCCCGAGAAATGGAGCATAATGGTATGGTATTGAATTACACGGTATCCACAAGTATTTCGAGGTCGATGGGTAATCAATCGGATAATTACAGCCACCGAAATTTTGGGGTGTCACAATGTGTCATTTGGGGTATTGTCTTGTTACCTTGTTACCTTCGTGTGGGAGGCTCTGTATCTGCCTCCAAATTTTATAAGTGTAGCTTTGAGAGTTTCAATCCTAGTCAGTTTTCTAGACAGTTTGGCCTGACCTAAAATATTATTTTTCCCCTACATGCATTTTTCTATCGTTGAGTCTGCAGGTGAGAGGATAAAAGTAAAATTTGACGTTCTAGTCTATCAAATCTCTTAGGCTTATGAGAAATCATTAGAATCTTTTAGATTTTCTTATTTTTGGCTTCAGCCAATCTCAATCTTCCTTTCATTTAGAATGATGGCAAAATATTTCAATCGTAATCTTCATCGATTCTATAGATGAATATGTGTCTAAGTTGTGTTTTGACAATCGACATGCAAATAAAATTTCTACCAGTCGAAAAAAGAAAATAATTGAGGCTCCTACTTTTCATTCTCCTTCTTCTAATCCAAATAAGGGTAAGGCTGTCTTCATTGAGGAGTCAAAGAAGAAAAGTCAGAGAGGATTTTCTCCAAAATTGCTCCAATCTGCTATCGATGCTCATGATGCTGCTACTCACCACTCAAAGAAGCTTAAGTCTTCTCAAGGAGCCATTGATGTGCACATGATGCCCACCATTGACGAGCAAGAGACGGAAGAAACTCCTCTCCTTCTCAAAAAGTCAAGTACTCCCTCCTCCTTGAGTACATCAGAAGGGACAACTTTTGTGAAGGGACTCCCATTGCTAGTATCAACTGATCCTTCTCTAAAGGTGGGGACATATTGATTAGCAAACTTATCCTTGTGGCCAAGCAAAGTGTCAAAAGGTTCAAAGTGACTGTTAAAGTGAGAACCACATCCTCATATCTCTCATTCTTTCATCCTTTTAAGCATACCTTCTAATGTTTCAAATTTCTTTCAGAGAAGGGATAAGAATCTGACTATGGCATCAAAGCACATTAGTCCTGAGCATTCCTCTCCAACTCCTTCAAGATAAAAAAGAGACTATTACCTTAGAAGACCTAATAGAAAACACAATGGCAGCTATAATCATTGCTACTCATGTAAGTCAATATATGCCTATCAACCAAAACCACCTTGACTGGACTTTCCTGTTGAGACTAGCTTCATTCTTGAGGACACTGCTTGTGAAAATTCTACCATTCCAACCCTTATGCTTCACATTGAGAGTCAAGTTGACTCTCCTCCGTTGGGTCATCCTCAACAAAGCCTTTTTGCTAATCTAAGTCCTATCCCTGGGGAAGTTGCATGTGAGGGTCCTATTGTGCCAACTCTCACTAACGATCCTTTGGCAAATCATGATGGCCAAAAAAATTAATTGAAGAAGTCCTTCCCATTTACTTCTTCTGTAAACTAGGTTATTTCTCAGAAGCACCTCTACTGTTTCATTTCTTCCGTGTCTTTTCTTACTTTGCCTTAACCAACTTTCTTTTTCTTTTGTAGTCAATGCTTGGATTTGCCTTTCGTATTATCCAAAATATTGTGTATATAATTAGATTTAGGAAACTTAACAATTGTTGTAAATCTACAACAGAAAGCCTACTATTTAAAACAAAATAATGCACTCATATGGATGCATAACAACAACAACGATAAGAACTAGAAAATCAGAATAAATAAAGAATAAATTTGAGTCCTGTATCCGCAGTCTCTTTTAAGACAACTTTGCTCTCTATTGGTGCTCAAGGTTGATGAACAATTGTTTCTCAAAATAGAACGGATTTACGTTCTTGGAAAAGCAACACTTCAATCTTTAAGACTCTAGTGAACACAACTTTGTGTCTTATACTTGAACCGATAAAGAAGAACAATGATGCAACAATATGTACGCAGAGTGAGAGAAGTATGAAAGTCAATAATATTGTTCTTGAATTTCGATGTTTTGATATATTCAAATGATAGTAAGTATCACCCTTTTATAGACTCTAGGTGCCTGTTCAATTAAATTGAACATGCAAGAGATGCCACTGTTCATCACACCTGTTTAGAGATACACTCTGAATGACGAAAACTATGTATGACTCGTATTTTAAAAAATGATTGGGTCAAACATTTGAAAGTGAAGGTAATACGAGGCGAGACGACCACGGGAGGGGACGCCCCAAGCTAAGGTGTCAAGGCCTTGGGCCCCACTTGCTAAGGCGCCAAGCAAGGCAACCAAAGCAAGGCGTCAAGGCAAGGTGCCAAAAGCCTTGGGCGCCACCTTCGGGCTCCGGTGCGTGCTTCATACATTACTCCAATTTGATCCATTTTTTAACCTAATTTCAAATCCAAAAATTCTGTCTATTATACCATAAAATTGATAACTGTTGAGACATAATTTCTCATTCAAATATTAATGATTTTGAATAATAATTAAATCACGGTCCCACTAATTTCGATGTGTAAGTCCTATTTTAATTTATTTTAACCATTTTTTTGACATCTCATCTCAATTTTAGATTCTGATATCGAGGCCATCTATCAAAAAGCAAATGAATTTATAAGGGCAGTTGGCTCTGTATCTATTTCTATCATTTCTCTCCCTTCTATTGAAAAAGCTCTAAAAAAAGAGTTTTCACATATTTTTAAATTGCTTAAGTTTTCCTTTAATCAACTCATCCAAGATGGCCCCTTGCCATAATCTCATGCTTGACCAAGATTTCTGTTGTATCTTCTACTTACATTACATGACAACAACGATAGCAAGTGGCCAATATGAGCAATCAAGGTACAAATCGCATTACCACAATCACCAAAAGACCCACCACCACCACAAATCTGGGGAGAGATGATTTGGTTTGTAGTGCATCTAATTGTGGATCAGCACTTGTCAAGTCTACACCAGATTTGCTAGATTCCGCAAGCAATGAAGCATTTTTGCCCTCCAAATTTCTACTGCTTTTCTCGATATTTATCTGATCTTTTTATCATAAGTGAGGTGGGAGAACAACAGTGAATTTGATTTCCCAAATCATTTTAGAGACTGAAGTTATTTTTTGATCATTATTGTTACAATATCGACTAATGTTTATATAGGAAGTATTACCTAGAAGGAGTAATAGTGAGGAGGGTCTATAGAAAATTTTCCCAGTTTTGTAGAGAATCTCTAAAAGAACATAAAAACTTTAAAAATAAAAAAAGATGTTAAATGAGAAATTAGAATAACATAATGGTTACGCCATTGAAAATGCCAAATTATATTATCGAGCATAATGTGGTTTTGACGACGGGCATTACGATAGGGACGAGAAAACTAAAATGGTGATAATTATACTTGTATGTCTAAGAATCTGAAAAATGTGATAGAAGTACAAAACCTTGCTTAGAAATAAGCTGATTATAACATTGAATATGCTAAATTATATTCTCGGGGTATATACTTTTTTAATGTACATAATAAAGAAAATCTTCTTTCCATTGTCTGTGTAATTTTATTAATGCACATCAGTTTTGATAAGGGGTGATAGTATAAATTCTTATACTTGGGAGATTCCGTATGATTTTATGACAAAATTTAGGGGGCTAACCGTAATTTGTCCTTAAAAAAACCATGGGCGAAGAGTGAAGAAGGGAGATCCAAACCATTCTCTAACCGTGTGAAGCCCTCCCCCTACGCTGCTCCAATAGAATAATCCTTTCATAATATTCTCTCCCTCTCTTTTCGATTTGCGTATTATCATCCACCCTCTCATCACACACACACGTCCCTCTCATTTCCCTCGTCACTGTAAGCTCTCTCTCTCTATGTGTGTGAGTGTGTGTGCGCTTACTCTTGTATATGTTCTCTGATTTGTGAGTGTGCTGATCTACTTCACAGTGGAGGTAAGAAAAGATGGTGATGTTCAAAGTTGCTCGAATTAAGACGACACCGTACGATGGCCAGAAACCCGGGACTTCTGGTCTCCGGAAGAAGGTAATTTCCATATTTGGTTGGCAATCAAAGTTGTTTACGTTAATTGGTGCCATTTGATCTATAATAATAAATTTTGAGCTCTCGATCGTTGTGCTTTTTGATTAATTTTGTTGAATTTGATCTGTTCTTTCAATTGTATGAATGGATTTTTAAAATTGTATGTTCTTTCACAACGTATGAGCAATTCTTCTACATTTGATCTGTGTTTGTTCGAATCGTTCGTTAATAAGAACATATAATGATGAATGTTTTCTGTTTATGGGCAGTTGTTCTCCACGGCTAGTTGATATAGTGAATGTGTTCTCACTCAATTAGAACTTGTTTGTTGTTAGAAAAAGAGTGGCATGAAACGTTTGTAGATCATAGAGCTTGATAGTATATTGGATAAGACTGCGTCTTTGATTCTTGGTGTTGATTTGGTTCTTCGCGAAGAGTAAAATTGAGTAGCATGCTGTCTGACGGAATTCATGAAGTTTTTTTTAATATGAGCTAATGTACTGTTGGCAGACTAACATGAACATACTTGTATTATATGCACAAATAAACAGTATCTTTCGTGTGTATATGAGGTCCAATCTACGATACATGTAAGGATCAAAATTTTATATTCAAGAAGACCGAAACGTTTCCGTTTTCAAGGATGCTGAAATGAATAAAAATTAAAATTTCATAGCTTTGTGGTGTTGGGAAATGTTTTGAGGTGTTTTAACATGTTTTCACCAATATTTCAAAATTTTTCAAGATGTTTATGTACATGTTGACCAATATTTCAGAATGTTTGGAAATAAATACCAATTTTTTTTATCTGTTTTCATTTTGTTTCTGAAACATTGCAAAATATTTCCGAAATGTTTCCGTTTCATAGGTGATCAAACAAAGCACCGAGACTAAATATTGAACCTTGGTTACATGGCATCAGGTACAGGTATCTGATGAGGGTATTTGTCTAAGCATAAGAGTCATCTCATCTTCTGATATGAAGTTTTGGGTACACTGCAACATAATACATTTGAGATTCTTATTTAATTCTTCTGAAAAATCGTGTTTTGTATAACAGTGTCAAAAAGGGCTTTTGTGCGGATTTTAAAGCAATTATCTGCTACAGTACATATCAAGAGAATAAATGGTGACCTGTAATCTTGGTTCATGTTAATCGAGGATATTGGTAGGGGTGGACTGTTTAGCGGTAAAGCTGTTAGGCCAAGGACGTGAGACTATGGGTTTGAATATGAGGACAACCACTTATATTTATGTGTCACATTGCAGGCGATTGTATAATCTACCCCCCCCAAGACATATCAAGAATGTTTTATGTGATCATATGGTAAAATAGACTGGTTGTCAGGTGCAAATTCTTGGGAAATGCCCAACAAATATCACATATCCTTACCCAGGTGGCAAGTGTTTGACAAGGGTATGCGATGCATTTTGAAGAGTGCATGTAACATATGATCTAGTAATATATTGTTAGTGTCATTGAAAAAAATATTGATCATTTTTATGTTATACTTGTTTCCTTGGTTGTGGGCGCATCAATAGTGACTCGAGATTCTCTAGTGCTTGGACTTCTTGTTTGAATACAATATGCTACTTCTTGTTGATTTAGTCATTCCATCTATTATGTGTGTTTGCTTTGGTTTAAATTAGTTTGATAAAATTTATTTACGTTAATCAGATTTTCATGCCCTTTTATTTGATATGTATCAGTTGACCTCTTTTAATGTGTGCATCTCTACCCCACCCCAGAATGATATGAATAAAACTAATTTATAGAAGCCCATTAGAGGTTTCTGACCACAAGGTATGATAAGCATTAGGTGTCTTCAGGCCTCTCCAGGTTACCATGTTGTCCGACCTACTATGTGACGTAAATTTTTGGCAACAACAGTTCTGTGTGATTAGCTGGAACTTGTGCTTGTTGGTTGCTTTGGACTCTTGAAAAGTTTGAAATTATTTGAATGTGTTATCTAATACAGTGGTGTTGGGAGACTTTTCAGGTGAAGGTATTCGTGCAACCTAATTACTTGCACAATTTTGTTCAGTCAACATTCAATGCCCTTACAGAAGAAAAAGTCAGAGGTAAGGCGGGTTTTGTTGTCCATTGTGTGGCTTTCTTGTACATTTTATAAGACAGATCTCTAACATGGGTTATTGAATTTTTTATGCAAGAAAATGAAATTCTGAATTGTACCAGTTATGTAGTTCAAAGTGCCAATTTCTTTGGTTATCGCATCACAGAAAAAAGAAAAGAAAAGTCCAAAATATTATCTAAAGAAACATGTCTTGCTTTGCATTTTATGGACCCATGTTTCTTTCACGAAATGCACAAAATGTGTTTTCTGAGAAAAAAGCCAGGACCCTGTATTTGTTAAAAGCTGAGGAGCTCGATCACCGGAACAATTTAGGGGTAGTTACAAAAAAGAAAATAAGCTTTTTGCCAACTATCTTAAAAGCTTTCTGAGAAATGTATTACGGTTGTTGGATCGTTTGAGAATGCAGTAACAAATGCACATATATTAATTAAGTCCTTCTCCTCTCACTTGACTTATGAAATTGTTTATGTTCGTTGAAGACCAAAAAATGGAAAAGCTAAGAAGTTTGTTACCTCAATAAGTGAAAGGCTAACATTTAACATAAGAGGAGCAGTTTCCAAGGATGATAATTGGTGCTTTTGTCAATCACTTATGTAGATGCACAATGCATTGATCTTTGTCAACAGTTTTGCCATGGTTATCTTGGTGGAAAACAGTCAATTCAATAAATATTTTCTTTGTTTTCTTTCTGCTTAGTTTGGAGGGAGTGCTTTAGCAATATTTACCTTTCGTCTATTAAATGAACATTTAAATAAGTTCTCATGTGCATTTTTTTCCTAATATAGTTTTCTCTTAGTATTGCTTCATGCCTAAGTTGGTTTTGCTTTTCTATATGGTTGTTCTTTGGGATCATTTTTCATAACTGCACTGTGCAGGTGCTACACTTGTTGTTTCTGGTGATGGCCGCTACTTTTCAAAGGATGCTATCCAGGTATTTTCTTACACTCATCTATATACAAGTGAGATATCATTGTGAAGTCTTGACATACAACTGCACTATTAGCCTAGGATAATCGTGGTTGTCGTTGGTCATTGGCGGAAGAAAGCACTATATGTCTACATAGGACAAATTTTCATGTTGCTTCTAATCCAATTTTAGCATATATGATTTGCATTTCAACTTTCAGGTAATTGAATGCGATGTTTCAATATTTAGCCTGACGTTTTGGGACTTGGTAAAATTTTTTATGTTCTTCAAACTTTCGAGAATTTATTTTTGTCTGCTGTCTTATTATGTAGGAATAGATGGAATTAAAAGATTTTTATTCTTAGGATGAAGTCTCCTCTAGATGCTTTAAATGCTACAAACTGTAAAGAAAGAAACAAAAAGCCTTAAATGCTTTTATTTTTACAATACCAAATTCCTTGGAAATTATAATGCTAAATAAAATTGATAGATACTGCTTTCTTAAATTCAATGATTAGCATGTTATTGTGCATCTGTCCAGCATGCTTTTATGTGCATGTACTTTGTGGTACACCCAAAATGTGATCCAGATCAACTCTTCTAATTATGTACAAGTGATCATAAGTTACTGATGACAATATGCACCATCGGTTGTCCATTCGTTAATTTGTGGTATGGTCACAAGTTCTTGTCATTAGCTTTTTTAACCAATGTCCATGTCCTTTGAGTTTTGAATTAAATATGGATGATTGCTGTGTTAATAACTAGACATCTGGCTGTTGTGGTTTCTGCTAAGGTACTAAGGTCAAATTTTCATTTAGGGTAAGTTCACCTCCCGCTTGATTGACGTAAGTCCAGTATTTTGGTGGGTTAGACTGGTATCTTCTAACTTTTCACCGGGCCTGGATTTGGTTGGCGTCTCAGCTGGAAGTTTGATTGAGCTGCGCTGAGGCATCAAGAGATCAGACCTGTTCAGTTTGATGATAATAGTCACTTTTATTGTGTGATGCATACTTATATACAATGTATAATGGTAACTCTAATTTGTACATAGGGTCCTAGGGGCCACCCGCAAAAGCTCAGTTACATCAATAGTATCTTGTGTTGTGCATTAGTGCCTGAATTAATGGTTGAATGTCCTGCTCATAGGTTTGGGCTTGATCAATCTTACTTTTCTATATAAAAGACCTGAGTTGCCTTCGCATTTAGGTTTTTAACATATATATAGCTTCATCTTCTATAATGATTATTTGTCAGCTGTGTGTACTCTACCTGATCTGTTTCATGGCAGATCATAATTAAAATGGCAGCTGCAAATGGAGTGAGGCGTGTTTGGGTTGGTCAAAATGGATTGCTGTCCACTCCTGCTGTATCAGCAGTCATCCGTGAAAGAATTGGGCATGTTGTAAGTTAAATCTCCTTCAAACGGCATCATTGAGTTGTGTTCTATGGTTTTTTTTTCATTCTTATCTCATGATATTGGATAATCAGTTGAATGTGACCAACATTTGCTTATAAATCTCATCACAGGGGTCTAAAGCAACTGGATCATTTATATTGACGGCAAGTCACAACCCTGGTGGTCCCCATGAGGTAGGCATTGCCTCTACCTATTTACGTTGCTAATATTTGTACCAAGCAAATTGTCTTGCTTGGTGAATGGTAATCGCTGCTCTGTTTTCACATGGGCGTGTCTTATTTTTATTTTCAATGATTACTGTTGTTGCCCATGAAATCAAGCACCTTCTTTCTTCTGTCATGTTCTGGATGCTGCATCACTTAATAGATGCATAGGTTGAGTAACATTGTTGCAGAAGCATGATTTGAATGTGAGTAGATTGAATGCAATACTTGAAAAACTGAAGCTGCATCAGTGTGTTCAAATATTTATCCCTTTCCCTCTCTTTTTGAAAAGGAGTTACATAAAGAATTTTCGCAAACTGCGAATACCATTTCAATGTGTATAGGTCAGAATTCTGGCTGCCACTTTTCTACCTCTAAAATTATGCCTTATATTGTGCCCTTTATCCGATTGTTCAAACTAGTCTACAAATAAGTGGATTCTTCTTGTAGTTTGATTTCTTTCTTTAATTTTCTTTTTTTAGTAGGCATAGCATCTAGGCCACAGGCCTTTTCCTCGTATACTCATTGTGCAGACTTCTTTGACATCAATTACCATACTTTTACAAGAAAACATTTTGTTTGATTGTGTTTCCTGTGTACTTGCTCATGCACCTAAGATCTGAACAACTTTTTAAGCATGCTTTTACATGACAGGGTATTGTTTCAATCTGTAAGTATTGTTTTACGTGACTGTACTTGCTCATATTGTTTTACTTGACTGGAACTCACTCTGGGTTGCTTCCGATGGTAAGGAATAGTCATGATATCTGCACCAATAGTATTACTGCGCTCCTCCAAACCCCCAAAAAAAGCCCAGGAATAAAAAGGACAGCAATAACTTAATATGTGAAATCATGTTAATGTTGGCATGAGAAGAGATGCAACAAGTCTCCCTGAGATTGGGTGAAGGGTTTAACCAACCCAACCTGTGAGCGCTTGTTGTTGAACTAGTTAAAAGAAAGAAGTTGTGCTTTCACTAACACTTGCGGGTTTTGGTGTAATGGTAAGTGCTTCGATCCAACAATTGGTATCAGAGCGAGGTTACAGGTTCGAGTCAAAGGGTAGTTACCAAGGGGGATATTGTTGGCTTGAGAAAAGGTCCAACCAGTCTCCCTGAGACTTGGTGAAGGGTTTAACTAACCCGACCTGTGGGCGCTTATTACTGAGCTAGTTAAAAGAAAGAAGTAGCGCCTTCACTAACACCTGCTGGTTTTGGTGCAACTGTAAGTGCTTCGATCCAACAGAAGTGTCAGTAGAAGAAATGCATGATTGATGATCTCGGAGTCCCAAAAGAAAGCATAAAATTGGAAGCTAGCAGGTGAAAAAGTACATGCCCAAATAGATAGATAGATGCATTCCAACATATGTATTGGGTGGGCTAGAAAGTTTGAAAAATGCAAATCAATTTGGGTGGGAAAGATTATTGTTGAATCTGTCATTTGAATTGTTGAAATATGCCAATGTTTGTTGTAACTTTTCCACATTGCAACCCCCATGGCTGAATGTCTGTCTCTTATTTTTATCCTTTTTTCTACAGGACTTTGGAATTAAATACAACATGGAAAATGGTGGACCTGCACCAGAAGCAATTACTGATAAGATCTATGAGAACACTACGACAATAAAGGAGTACTTAATTGCAGAAGGCCTACCAGATGTATTACCTTTTTTCTTAGAGTGCATATTTTCATCATGTGTAGTTCCATCAATCATATATTTATCTCACAATGTTCCATACACGTCCCAGGTTGATATCACCGCAATAGGCATAACAAACTTTGGTGGTCCAGAAGGGCAGTTTGATGTTGATGTTTTTGATTCTGCTAGTGATTACGTGATATTGATGAAGTATGTTATCTCCACAGGATCAATATGACGTCATTACTTTCTGGTTTTACTCGGAGAGGCCCTTATGCTCTTCTGTAGTTGTGTTGACCTGCATTCTGACCCGAACAGAACACAACAATTTGACGGGTTCATAATATAAACCATTCAAGCAGTTTTGGGTTTGGTCTAGAAAGCCGCTTAATATTCTACGTTTCAACCCAATCCGAGTAACCGAGCTGTCCAAATTGCGACCCTAAAAGTGGTGAATTTTGCATGTTGTGACACTTTTTCTTCAATTTTGACTCATCTAAGTGTGTTCTCGGGTAATTGACTGTGGCGGTTGGATACACTTTTTTCCAATTTCTTAATTCAACTTCTAATTTTCGTAGTATTAGCAAAAAAATTTATTTGCTTAATGTTGTTTGTTCTTGGTTGTGTTAACAGCTCATATGAATACACAACTTTGATACTTGTTTTTTCCTTTCTTCAATTTTTGAGATAGAAAAAGTTTGTAACGGTTACAATACACCACTTTGCTTGTTTTCTTTTTTCTTTTTGGTTATGACATTCGGCTTGTTTTCCTGCAATGCCATTCAATTTGTTTATGTTTGTTTTGTAATGACATTCACTTTCCTGTAATGATATTCCATTTGCTTTCCAGGTCAATATTTGATTTCCACTCTATTCAGAAGTTGATTTCATCAGAAAAATTCACATTCTGGTATGTATATGGCACCTCGCTTGGTGGAGTGCAGAATACTTTACATGTTGATCATGTTTTAGTTTCTGTTGGATGTTTGACTTATTTTGTCCTTTTTTAGTTATGATGCACTTCATGGAGTTGCTGGAGCTTATGCTAAGCGTATTTTTGTGGAAGAGCTTGGTGCAAAAGAAAGCTCTTTACTGAACTGCATACCTAAGGTGTTCATAGTTTGGGAATAGCATCTTTTTTTTTGATGGAATTATCGAACTTTTGTGTCCTTTGTATCAATGCTTACAGTTCTTTTGCATGAATTCATGAAAACAGGAGGACTTTGGTGGAGGGCATCCAGATCCCAATCTAACCTATGCAAAGGAGTTAGTTGCACGGATGGGATTGGGTAAGTCAAATGCTGAACATGAGCCTCCAGAATTTGGTGCTGCTGCTGATGGTGATGCAGATCGTAACATGATCCTCGGTAAAAGGTAGCATTATTTAGAAATGTTGATGTGAACAGCTTTCTTGTTAATATCTAAGATTTCTAATTGCTGTCAATGATGTCAGGTTTTTCGTCACTCCATCCGACTCTGTTGCTATAATTGCTGCAAATGCTGTTCAAGCCATACCTTACTTTTCTGCTGGTCTAAAGGGAGTTGCCAGGTTCTATACTGTCTTGATTTGCTTCTGTTGTGCATATGCTTGTGTTTGTGCATGCTTTCTTAAACTTGCTCCTTTGTGTGTTTAACTTTGTTTTTAATTGGCACATGCACATTCTCTTTTGTCGATGTGCAATTTTACCTTTCCTAACCAGCAGCCTTATGAGTTGTTCATCTCACCGAGAGTTCATCTTTAAGATCTTTCGTTTGTATCTCATATATGACTTCTTTGTCTACAGGAGCATGCCCACGTCAGCTGCTCTTGATGTTGTGGCTAAACATTTGAATTTGAAATTTTTTGAGGTACTATATTGCAAAAACTGTAAAATTCCTTACCTTGCATTTCTTTGGTACTGTTACAAGAGGAATCGTTCTGTTCTTATGTTGATGTCAGGTGCCTACTGGGTGGAAATTCTTTGGCAACTTGATGGATGCTGGAATGTGCTCAATTTGTGGCGAAGAAAGTTTTGGAACTGGTAAGATTATACGCCATTTTCCTTAACGTTTGATGAATAAAAACAAGTTACATTAATTGTGGAAGCTTCAGAGACATATACAATTCAATTTTTTAAGCATTTGTTCTATCTGTTGACAGGCTTAGACCATATACAATTCAATTTTTTAAGCATTTGTTCTGTCTGATGACAGGCTCAGACCATATACGTGAGAAAGATGGAATCTGGGCTGTTTTGGCTTGGCTGTCTATTCTTGCATACAAAAATAAGGACAACATCAGTGGAGAGAAGCTTGTGACTGTTGAAGACATTGTTCGACAGCATTGGGCTACCTATGGACGCCACTATTATACTAGATATGATTACGAGGTATGCATGAATGTGATGGCTGTTACTTAATATCTTGATCCCTTAATTTGCAGTAAGATTGTGATAAGCATCATTTGTTGATAAATTGTTTTGTCCTCAAGAATGTTGATGCAGGTGCTGCAAAGGAACTAATGGCATATCTGGTGAAGCTGCAATCTTCCCTTAGTGAAGTTAATCAGTATGCTTCTCTTGCTATCTCCAAAATACACCCTCTTTGGAAGCAGGCAGTTTTTCTTAGACTTATATGGACTGATGCCATGCTGTAATTACTCCAATGTTTCTTTGCAATTTCATTTCAATCACAACTGCGAATTTGTGTGTATCACAATGCAGATGTCCCAACTTTAATGTGCATTCTTCTTTAGGAAGAGATGAAAGCCATGTCATTTAAAGCCTTTTAAAGGGCAAGAGTTGGAATTGTTTTTTGCTTCAATTTACCGACATTGCAGTCAGAGACAATGAAAATATTCACTTTCTTCCCTTCCTGCAGCTACCCCTCACTCATCCTCTTCTCTCCCTTGTCTTTTAGAGTTTTGTCAAGATTCAAGACATTATTTGTTTCGATTCTTACTCTTTGCTTCTGTTGTGGGATACCTTGTTGACTCTTTTCTTCTTTGCTTTGCTCACTTCTCTTTTTATCCACCATTTGATTTGTTTGTTTTCTTTTTCGCCTTATATTTTCGCCTTATATTTTCGCTGCCTTAGGAGAAGGTAAAGATTGAAACCCTATCTTCTTGCTTATTACTTGAAGCAAAAATAGCACATAGTCTGTTATCTTTTGTTTTGTTTAAAGATATGTTGGATAAGTAATATGACTTGAAATAAAAAAAGAACTTAGAGCAAAGAAAAGAATCTTGAGAAATATATTGTGATAGAGACGTTTGAAGAAAGCAGGTATCTGGCTGCCCTTGGGTTGTGAAAGTGTTTGTTGTTGGGCACCTTGTTTAAAATCAAGGTTGTATTCTTGTTGGCTGATGAGGCCCTTCTAAAAGGACCTTTCATACTCAGTAATACAATGAACTTACCCCATTGCTTGGGTTACTGTAAGACACACCCCAATGAAATGTTTATGCTGTCTGTAAGTTCATAACTTGAGACCGAGAGGGGGCAATTTGTTGAGGACCTCTCGTTTGTTGCTTTTTGTGGATTCCACTTTGTCATTGAAGGATTGTTTGTGCTTTGTGGTGTATTTTAATGAGTGCTTGGTTAATATTGAGGCTGAACTGCCACCTTTTTTTTTTTAATAAAAATATATTTAATCTGCAACATTCTCATTTTGAAATCATGGAATTGTTGAAGCAGCTGTGTTATTCGTGTGGTGATGACATCTTCATTTTAGAAAGGGTCCTTCCTTTTTTAAACTTTGTGCTGTTTTCTTTATCAGGAAAGTGAAGGAAACATCTTCTGCTGTGTCAAAAGTTATCCATGGTGATGAATTTGAATACAAAGACCCTGTTGATGGTTCCATCTCAAAGCATCAGGGTATACGTTATCTGTTTGAAGACGGGTCACGATTGGTAAGTGAGCTCCCTGCACATTTACCACTGAAAATTTGGTTATGCAGATGTCATACATGGGAGTGCACTGGCTTTCCTAGCTTTAAAACTCTGCATATACGTTTTTGGGAAAATATTTTGAGAACAGTAAGTTTACAAGAATTTGCATCCTTAAAGGGTGATGTTTTGAGAACAGTAGGATATCAACATTAATTTGTATTCTTAATGGAGGAAAAAAATTCAATCTGTTAAGGAATGTATGTTATCAAAATGGAGTTCTTGTTTTACACATCAAACTGAAAAAAGTAGGTTTTTATTTCAATTTTTTTTCTTGCATACACCTGTTCCGATACATCTTTCTGAAGCTTTTGTACCATACGATTTTCTGAAACATTTTTCAATCTGTACTAGATTTTCCGTCTTTCTGGAACTGGCTCGGAGGGTGCTACTATCCGTCTGTATATTGAGCAATATGAGAAGGATCCATCTAAGACTGGGAGAGATTCTCAAGAAGCACTGGCTCCTCTTGTGAGATATCCTTAATCTTGCTTTCTATTTATATCTGTTCCTTTTAATCACTTTCTTTTGGTTAACTGGGATGCATTTGGTCACAGGTGAAGGTTGCTCTCAAGTTATCTAAAATGGAGGAATTTACCGGTCGATCTGCTCCCACTGTTATTACATAGATACATGTGACATTTACATGTGTCACACCGAGGTTAATAAGAATATATTGTCTGCTTGTCGGGCCTGTGTTTTCGAAAAATAATAAACTCTAATACGTGATCCCTTTAGACGACGATTTATGCAGCCTAAATAGGTTCATGAGAGTACTGAGTACTCTTATAATGCTTGCTAATGAAAGTTTCGTTGTTCAGAATAACTTGTGTATGAGTACTTAGCTGATTAGTCTGTCACTTGTTCTAGCCTATGTTTGATTATATATAAATCCATTTCTTTCTTGTTCCACCGGCTAGGAGTTTTTATTTATTCATTCTGTATGGAGACTGGGTTGGTGAAACATCAATTAGCCGAATTCATGTGCTAACGACGTTGATCAATCCATATTCACCAATAAAAGACCAAATTAATCCATCCAAATGAAAGAATGATAATGGGTCACATTCCCATTATTGTATTGAGAAAGTTTTGTATTATTATTATTTTTTTGTTTTTAGGTCACAAAGTTTTGCATTATGATTGTAGTTGTTTTGTCTAGTTTTGGTGGTTATGATGTCGTTGGTCTTCATTGAATTGAACAATAATTATTTATTTTAAGTCTGCTAATCTATATTTTTGGCAGGACGGACCACCTCGCAGATTGTTTCTTTATTTGGTCCCATGAGGATTGGAAGTGTATACCAACTTGATATTATTATGTACAGATGAGGGAAAATAATAGATGAATCTAATCTAAATAATGCAAGAGATGGTTTGGACTTTGGATTCTGATTCGAACTTATTTATTAAATCGATGCACTTGCTTTCATTAGGTACTAAGGATGGGACCAAGATTTAACACTAAGAGGGGATGAACAGTGATATTTAATGAGATTTTTTTTAAAGTTATTTTTAATGTTAAATTTTCAATTAAATCTAGAAAATTAATTTAATTTTGTCTAACTAATTATAAATAGTGATCGAATAACAATAATAAATAATTTTAGCTTAATTTTATCGACCAATCACTTGTGTATTACTAAATATCAATTTAGTTTCATTAAATTGTCAATAATTCCAATGCAAATTCATCGCATAATCTAAAAATTATAACTCAATATATCTTCTACACAAATAGACCATTGTTTCGGCTCAATTCAAAAACTTATTTAATAATTAAAAAAAAAATAAAAGGATGCATTCACTTGCGAGGAGTCGCCGACAAAGTATAAAATCAGTGACTATCTAACTTTTTGGAACTCTATACACCCTTTTTGTTCCTTTCTTAATTTTCATTGATTTCCAGAATGGGAACATTAAATTACATATAATTGAATAATCTTACAAATATAATATCTATATTAGGATTTTGTTTTTCCAAAAAATAGCACTCCTAGGCCCCCCCCCCCCCCCCCCCCCACGGTAAGTTCGCAATGTAGCAAATAAAAATGGTCGTGAAGAATGTTTTTTATAAACTGAGATAAGAGATAAGCGGAATGAGTTAAACTAAACAGAAAATCGTTTTACTAAATCGAGGATTTCTACGTGATACAAAAAGAACAGGAACTGCACTCATACTGAAATACTACAATCGATGAACTCCTTAATAGTTCTGTTACTAATTTCATGACCAAGGAAAATAACAAGGTGTGACATGTACAAGTTGTACACTTAATATGCTTCGTAATACATCCAAATAAATGGGTAAAAGAAAATTTCAAAGTACATGCTTGAACATGCATCAATCACAGTCGTTGTTGCATAGTGTTCCTCAAGACAATGGCCGCCATGAGCGCAATGTATGATCTGCTGAGCTCTCTAGTATTGCAGCTCTTGTTAATGGGTTTTGGAAACATTACATCAGGGTTGGGGTGTAAAGTGCCAAATGTGAGTGCTCCTACCTTGTCAAGATATCTGATTTTGATTCCAATTTTGTTCGAATCCAATTAGACGGATACAGATTTGTCTTCTAAATAATTATTTGGATCCGCATATGTTATATTATCTTTCACGGATTCGAATTTAGATTTACCAATTTTCAATCCGATTATAATCTAATCTAAATTATATTATATGTTTGTGAATAATATGACAAAATCTGGTGGTTATTTGGTGAGCAAAAATTCAACTCCAATGAAATTTGTGAACAATTAGCATAATTGAGTCAATCAATAGAATTTTCGGATTTGATGTGCATCGTAAAAATGAAATATTTTAGATATTTCGATGGAGTATGTAATTAGATTCGAATTGGATGTAATTCAACTAAAAATCTGTTGACATGCTTACTCCTAATTGGTTTTCAACATTATAAAAAAAGTAATGTTTTGCTGAACAAATATTTATCCAAATTTTATATCTCAAATTAATGTAGGTCGTTAGATTATTGGGGTCCACTAAATCTAGCAAATATTCATTGCATGAGATTTTGACACATCACTTGAGATATAAATTCTTTATCCTTATAAATAATATAATTTAATAGCTTTTACTTAACATCACCCATGTCTGACCAAAAAGAAAAAAAAATCACCCATGTAAGAGTTAATTCACATTCTTTAGTACTTTAGTTTTAATTCATATTCTTTTAACATTCATCATCTCATTCTTTATTTTTTAGTTCAACGGTATGAAGTGCATTGTCTAACCAATTTACGTGCATCTCGATTAATCTCCTTTTCAATTCAATCAAAGACAAACTACCGCACACCATATTCGTATAGTTAAATTTCTCGTCATCTCATTCTACAAGCTCACAAGTCAACTCACTAGACATTCAAAATTACATGGCATATAAGTGTACTTTACACAGCATTTATTTTGACAGTTCAAGAAAAGCACCTTTGTGGGTCTCAAAACCCTACTTTAGCCCCACATTTCCTATGTGGTAGCCACAGTTTGGCCAAGGGGTCCATGCCCCCTCAACTTTTAAAAATTACCTTTTATCCCTCTTAAAATTTTAAGAACTATGTACCTTCTCCAAAATTTTCAAGAATTTCTATATGAAAAAATTTTAACCCGACACTTGATAAAAAAAATAGAGGTCATTCATCACGATAATGAGTGTTTCTCTTACAGACCAAGACGTGTGCTTGGGTGAGTCTTACAAGCAAAAAAACAAATAAGAAAAGTTGTTGCAGATTATGTGACTAGTATTTATCAACAAATGCGTTGAGTTATAATTAATTTTATGATTGTACTACATGCATCTATTATTTTTAATTTTAATTTATTTGTAAGCGCTACATCATGTAATAAAGAACGGAATAAATATAATAAAATTAAAATTATTTTTAATTTTAATCACCCAAACCACCACAAAAATATAAGTAAAACTATATACTCTCTCTTTTCATAGAAGGCATCTCTTGATATACACAAACTATACAACAAGAAGCCAACACAAAAAGTCACAAACTAATGAAAATTATATCACATGCAAGTCACTATCCTAACTAAAATTGACATAACCCACTTTCCATAATGGAAAAGATAAAGGTGTAACTGTGTGTCACAGGCCAGAAGTGAAGGGCACTCCGGTGGCCGGAATCCACGCATCCCCGGCCAAGAAGTTCCCAACTGAGAATTTTCCAGCCTCCGTCGCACTTGTTATAACCCTATATCCCGGCCACTTCACCCTCCCACTAGTACTTGCACCAAGCCCTTTATTCATATACTCCCCATAATATAAAGTCTTCAAAGCAAAATTTCCACTCCATGGAAACCAACCTGAAGGATCAATCAAGCTGTCTAGAGAAGTTTTCATGAACACTGTTCTTGAATACTGCTTCCATGGCCTCCCAAGATAAGTTTTGAATGATTTTTGAACAGATTTCAAATCCAAGGCCGCGGTAACGATTGAATTATGCACAACAATTCCAGTATTTTCATTGGAATCACTTCTTCCTTGGGCTGTGACTGTGTTCCAGTGATTTCTCATAGGTTTTCTTACGTATATATTACAGTTTTGAAAAACTACAACAGCGTCTCCGAAAATGAAGTCTAAAGTGCCATAAATGTCACAGCTTCGATAGAATTGGCGTTGGGAATAGACATATAAGGTGTCTTGGTAGCCTTTGAAGCTGCAGCTGTAGAAAACTGACAAGTCTGAGCCTGAGCGAAGTGCCACTGCTTGGTGCTTCTGAGGTCCGGCTGTGTTTTCGAACGTCATGTCCCGAGCGATGAAGCCATTACCAGAAACAGCTGAGAGAGAGAGAGAGAGTCTTGGTTCATGACTTTTAAGATAATCCATAATGACAAGCTTTTTTTGGTAATATTACGGAGAATCATTCCAACAATGTGTTTTAAAACTCATATTACAGTACAAATTTCGAATGTACGATGAGTTTTATGCTAGTACGCCACCATTGAACCATCTCGTATTATGGTATTAGTTGAAAATTACATCCTTTTGTCGTTGACATTTGAAAACTTCCTCATATTAACTAATGTCTAGTGGTCTTATAATATTTCTTAAAGCTTGACTAAACAATCTGAATGATGTAACTTGAGTGTGGTATGGCTGTATCACTAATTGAAACCATGACCCATGATAACAAATATGACTATCTTCTACTGTTTGACAAGGGAGTTTACATGTGCCTTAGATAAATTATCTGAATATCTCACACTACATTAGAAAACATATATAGACAGCTAGAGGTGAGGGAGTAACCTAGTGGTAAGAACTCACTTTCGCTAGCAAAGGAAAATGTTATTTTGATCTAATCTATTAATTTAATATATCACAACCATTGAATTGATAGTGAATTTTAATTAATAATGGTGCCTAGTGTCAATTTAATGACTGTGATTCATCAACAAATTAGATACAAGTAGCATTGCTCTAATATGAAAGGAGTATATGCATACCAAAGCTACCATCTGTTTGAAAAAAAATTCAGTAATGTTATTATTGAACAAAGACACTTAAATGTAAAAAATACAGAAAGTTCATGATAAACTCACCAAAAGTAGCCGTGCGAAATGTGGTGGTGCCATCTTGAACATTCTTATGGCCAGAAACAATCGTAGCATCAATCCCATCTCCAATAAACATCAAATTTTTCATTGACTTCTTAATCTCAACATTTTCTTTGTAGACACCCTTTTTCACGTATATAACAAATCTCTGAGTTCCTCTCCTTTGTTTAACTGATGCAGACACAGCCTCTGATATGGTCTTGTAATTGCCCGAACCGTCTTGGGCTACCACTATGTCAGCATTAGTTGCAGCCCCAGATGATCTAAGAAGCTTTTTGTCAGCAGTTGAAACCCAGTCTGGGAAGCCTTCGGCTAGTAAGCGTCGGCCTCGAATTGATTTACTAGATGATGAAGCCATGGCCTTGTTTATAGCAAGTGAATTGCTGAGGAATTGGGAGAATTCACTCAACATGACTGGAAAGGAATGCAAATGAGAAGACAACTTAAACTCAATAAACCCGTCTCGACATGTTTGTTGGTTGGCGATTGCTGCACTTAGCCATGTTTGAGCATCAGCCATGGTGGTTGGATTGTCCGAGGTGATCGAGAAATTGAGCTTTTCAATGGTGTCCTCATAAAGCTCCAGACAATCTGCCCAAGCTGACTTGCCTAACTCATTGAATGAACTTAAGTCCATGGCTGATATGAGATTGTGGGCTCGAACAGCTTGAGCCATGGTGGCCTTAAAGGCTGTGTCACGGAGCATGAAAAGGGTTTCATCTGGGGACATTGCTTGGGGTTTAAGGTTGATGAGAGAATTGCATAGTTCAGGATAAGGGGTTTGGCTACATAGAGATATAGTGGCACCATGCACCATCCCGTAGGAAATAAATAGAATATGAACTCCTAAGAATGCTAAGACAAGAAGCTTATCCATGTAGAAACAAAGTTTGCTAGGCATTTATTATCTAACTTCAATGATCTAAATGTGGCATGAGAGGGCTACTTATATAGGCCACAACTTGGCTACGTGGGGGCACACAACTGTTATTAGAATTGTAAGGTCGTGTGAAAATTGAAAGGATTGGATATTTGGTCATTGTAGAGGCAAATGCATTTGTAACTTCATTATAATTGTTTAAAGCCTTAATACTATGTAATAACACGTATGACTGCCTTTTTTGTATCTCTGTATTTTACTTGTTTTACAGTAAAATGCTGGCAACTCCGTGGTTTTTTTCTCCATTTTAAATTGTTTCATGCAATTTTGTATGTTCTTATTTGTAATTAGGATAAATTACATTCACTTCTCTTGAGGTTTGATCGAATAACAAAGAGACTTCCTCTTGTTTGAAAAATAACACTACCCTCTCTCTGATTTGTTGTCGGTAGCAAATTTTCCCAACTATCAGTTTATAGTTGAAGGGACGTGAAACTTTGCCTATGTAAGCAACTCATTTTTCAAAAATACCAATATTATCCTTATCATATCTCTCTTTTCTCTCTGCACATCACACGTGCATTTTTTTGTGTGATTAAATATTAGGTTATTACGTAATTAAGTTTGTTTTCAAATGAAATTTGAGTTTTGGAAAAAAATTAAATAAATAACAAGAATTGATTGGAATTTTGAGATAATTAATCAATTAATTGAATTAATTTAGATTTGGTTTGAGTTTGTGGTAGATTTGATTTAATTAATAAAGTTAATCAAATTTTGTACGAATTATGGATAAAATTAAATAATTTGATTTGAAAATAAATATTATTCAATAAATAAATTGATTAGATTTGGTTTGAGTTTTGTGAAAAAATTTATGGAATAAATAAGATTTCGTTTTTATTTAGATTAAATTCTATTATATTAATTAAGCAATTTATTTCCTTCAATTTTATTATATCGATGTGACAATTTGTGATTGAATGTTATAAAATTAAATAGAGGTCAATAAGTAGATAATCTTATGAGTTGAGTGCATTAAAGTCATTTTCGTGTTGATGTTAGAAAGATAGATCGTCATTGACATGGGAGGTCGGTGTTATTTTTCAAACAAGAGAGTATCTCGTTATTATTTGATCAAACCTAAGGGGAGATGAATGCGATTTACCCTTGTAATTATTTTGCAACTTTTTTTTTTTCTATTATTGCGTATAGGACCGGGGTTAGAGATTAATTTGGAACAAGCATAAGATAATTCAGAGATTAATTTGGAACAAGCATAAGATAATTCAACTTGTTCAAGTCTTTGAAAATACAATGGGTCATGCATGATGCCTACGTGAAACGAGACTACTTGGCTTTCTGCTTGTTAATAATTCAGCCACTGGGTCATGAAACCACGTCAATGTATTGGCTGCTGTCATTACTTTGTGTGTATGGCTGGGGCTTTTGGGATTCAAAAGTAAAGAGGTTAACAGCTCATAGAAGACCCAACAAGCCACTTAGTCAATACACTATCATGGGATTGACCCACAAATGCATGGACATTTGCTAAAGAAAATAACAATGGATACTTCTACACTTATTGAGGACCACAAAATAATCCTTCCAATGGTTCAAAATCCAATTGTTCACACATCAATGGCGTGAGTCGTAATCAATACATAAGACTCTTATCTGTAGTCGGATATAAGAGAATTGTTTTTTTTAAAAATAATTCATAAGGAGGGTAATAGCCAAAATTACATTAAACTAGAATAGCCAGCCCAAGAGCTGTGGTTTTTACTACTAGCATGTTTTGCTAGGCCGTAAATTTTCATTTTAGATGTACAAAAAAAAAAGAGTTAAACTCCAAAAGTCTAATCTTCTTCACAGATTAACCTTGCTCCATTGGAAGATAAGTCCCTTTGGAAGGGTTGCAAGCGCTAGTCCCATAACACCTGCAATGGATGATTAGGAACTCGTATAATGATCGAAAATCGAATTCACGCTCACCTCTAGATTGGAGGCTCTCTCCCGTAACCAACTGCGTTGCGCTTCTAGAAAGAATAATTAATTATGTAGTAGCTTTTTTAATAGATAACAACACGTTACTATTTCTTGATAAATTTTGTATAAAACATGGAGATTTGTGCACCTATTGGCTTATTTGTTATACTAAGAAGAAGATCAAAACCATGACCTTAAGACCCTATAGGTTAGTTTCCCAAGTACGCAGGTAATGACTCGTGAATGCTCTTTATTTTTTGGGTTCGTTTACGTGAACAGTAAGATGTTCAAAAAGTGGGTAGTTGGATGATTTTTGTATTATCTAGTTCTTATTATGCCACTTGGCTTGGTTTCAACTTGGTATACTCCTTCATTACTCCTCCCAATATCTTGTTGACACTTGTAGAGAGTTTTATGATACACATCTGGTTGCCTCAGTTGTGGATATTCTAATTTTCGTAGATTAAATTGAGAACTACTCTAATTCCTTTTAATTTGCTTGTGAATCCTTCACAAAATGTAGGTAATTTATTTATTTTGGACCCCCATATAAATGAAATCTTATGCACTGGGTATGTCTGACTGAGTAATGCATTTCATATACGATAATATCAACAATTTTGTATAAACACAATGGGAGATCAAAGAGTACCCAATTTATGATCATGTCATTCTCAGTGGAATTATTTTTTTTTTTAAATCAGATTGCAAGAGTTCATATGTATTGTGTGAATCTGAATTTTAATGTGAGACCCAACCACCCAATTAGGTTTCAATGGATTAGACTTGGACTTGGATTGATCTGAATCTGAATTCGTTTGAAAAAGTTTAATATGGTTATCCGATGAATTTTATTTTTGAATTTTATATTAAAGTTCGTTAGAGATTCAAAATTCGATTCGATTTAAATAACTAAATTGTAACAAATTATATCTAAATTTTAACTACATTTCTTCAAATAATCACTTAATTTCTTTAGTATTTATATAAAAATATATATGAATTTCATATCAGTTCATAATTAGATAGAATATATATATATCTAAATCCGTGAAATAAAAGAGTACATATTCAAATTTTAATTCGGGTTCGAATTATTAATAAAAAATATTTATCCATATCTAAATAATAAAATTCAAAATCTGATCCGTTTACAGACTTGCCCGTAAGTGGTTTTCAATTGAGCAGGATTACAGTTGAAAAAAATAACATGTCATTAGCAGGAGAGTCGAAACAAAAATGTATTATTGAAAATTAGTTTAATCGATTGTGCCGTGTCGTCGGATAAGCTGTCAATGGTAACGTTGGATAAGCTGTCAATGATAACCTGCATGATTGATCTGAGAAATGACCCAAAAAAAAAAAAAAAGAAAAAGATTGATCTGAGAAGCCCGATTACCCGACGGGCAAATGTACGGGATACCCTTTTTACAGTCTAATCTACTACTCCCCCAAATAGGAGATAATTAATGTAAGTCAATCCAATCCAATCTCAACAACCTTTAAATATCTTATGATAATCATTTAATATTTTACCAACTTGGATATGAATTTGCCAAAAATATAATGCAGATGAGTCATCGTCACTATCTTAAGATGCCACGTGAAGCCATGCCAGTGGCTCATTAATGAATGACTTGCAATTATCCTTTATGTTAAGACACTATGTATTTGACTTAATATGGTCATTATAAAAGGTTTATATATATATATATATATATATATATATATATATATATATATATATATATATATATGTAAATGCTTGGTCTTATTGTTAGGGGACATTTATATAAGTTTTGATGAATCTTTTTATTTTTTCAATGCCAAATAGGGGTGTGTGGTGCCCACCAGTCTAGGCCAAAATGTGAGTGGAGTTCAAACAAATGGTGTATTACGGGCGTATGCCTCTATCTTTACTCAAGTTAAATTGACAAAATTAATATAATGAGATGATTAAATTGATAAAAAATATATATTTTATGGATAAAAAATACTATTAACCCTAATTATTATCATTATATACTTTTGAACATTCCACATTCATACTTGAATATACAAAATAGAACCAACCCCCCCCACCCCCACCCCCCCAAAAAAAAAAAAAAAAAATTAAAAATCAAGCTGTAGTATAATGCAACCATTATGAACTATTTAAATGGTATGGTGAGAGTTTTTTTAGCTTGTACACACGTGTGTGTCCATAGTCAGATGCATTGGCCTACATGGAACTATTCAGATTCCAATCTGGCATAGCTACCAAGTTGCAATAGTCAACCTATCCCCCAAGACCTGGTGCCGAGCCTGCAAAAACAAAGTACGTGATACCCATTGTTAAAGGTGATCTTAAATGTCGTATACATGAATATTAAATTATTGTTTCATTATTTGGAATTGAAGTCAAATGGAGAGGTTGTCAAGTTGGACTCAATCCAACTTATAAAACTCTCCATCTGAATTCAATCCCAGCATTACCAATGCTTATGTTTCTCAACATTTGTTACATAACTAGGACTGAACAATTGGTTTAAGCCTTGGATTGAACTTTCTGGGTTGAAATTCAGGTTTGGGTTAAAATCGGTTTTGTTTCTAAGGTCCTCGGGCTGAAATATAGGTTGAAAATCAGTTGAATTTAAATTTATTAGTTTGGATGGGGTCCAAAAATTTTCAGAATCTAACTCGAATACTACCTATATCGAAATAATATTGAGATTTATATGCCCCATCCCAGTCGGAGCACTCAAAATCTCTCTCTAAATATTGAATATTTTGGATTGAACGTGTTGAGTTCAGATTGATGAAGCCAAGGGCTTTTTTTTTTTTTTTTTTTTTTATGTCTCAATAGTAGATCAAGGAAGAATCAATTACTACAATTTTCAAATGAAGCGTCTATGTACATCAGAGGACACAATACCTACAGTAAGCTGAAGAGAAGATCGAAAGAGAGTATAATAAAATTCTACAGAGGGAGGTATAAGATATTAAATTAGGTAATGATCGACCCCGTTAACTTTTAGGTTGATAGAAT